TGAGCCTGGTTCTGGTTCTGCTGGAGGTCTCTTCCTGTTTAGGGTGAATTTTTCCTCTCCACTGTCACTGCATGCATGCTCGGTGTGAGGGATTAAGAAGATTAATTCCAGTCAATTCCTCGATGCAATCTGCAGGGTTCCTTTAAATAGAATGAAGCAATCATGACTGGACTACATTGTTGTATAAAAAGGATCAACTGAAATGAATGTAATCACCTGGTTTTGTTTACTTTCTGGTAATTTGCTCTCCAGGTTTCACAGGCAATAATGCGCTCCCACCCTACTTCCTACCAAGGGAACCCTCCGTCCCAAAGCTTAATGGACCCCCCAGCGAGGGAGGTAGATAATCCCTCGGAGTCTGAGCTGAGTACGGTCTGCACAAATAAAGGATTCTCTGTCAGGTGAGATGGCTTTGCACAGGTATGTGTGTGATCACTGGCATTCCTCATGTGTTCTCTTTCTTTAATGCAGCTTAGCAACTCTGAGAGAATGCACCATTGAGCAAGGCAGGGAGAACTTGGACCAGGCAACCTGCCTTCACTCCGTCATGTCAGGAATTCCTTCCCAGGAAATCCGAAAGATGATTGAAGAAGCTAAGACTTTGGAAGAAGAGACACTGAAGGTAAAAACTAAACTATCTAAGTACCTCTATTGCTCTAAAATTCATCGGTGGACCAACAACATTTCTTTTTTTAATGCAGACACAGAGATTTCATATAGAAAAGGAAATTATTGTTTTTACAAATCAAATGATCTATAAAAACTGAAGAGCATTAAAAGTAACTGCATTGCATCCAGTTAATCAGTCAGTCACGCCCTGTAGCCACAGCTGCCCTGGGGCTCGCCACCAGCCCCTCTGAATGGGTTATTGATCAGGATCAGATGGACAAGGTTTTCTACATTTAACTACCAAGTAGTCCTGATTAAAATGTTACGGAAAACAAAGGAGGATGTTTGATTCGGATAGTCATTGAGGCCACAAAGGGGATGCTGGTATGATGACAGGATGGAGGGAGAGTCTGTGACCATATTTGGACTGTCAGAAATACCAACATTGGGGAAAGACTGCAAACTTAAACCTCTGATTAAAGCTCTGAACCTAAACACTGTGATAAACGCAACTGAACCGGATCGGTCACCATAAAGTTGGACCGAAGGCTGATAAACTTCAACCTTTTGCAGCAATACTTTGACTTATTTAGCCTCAGAAAAGAGAAGACAATGAGGCTTAATATTTCAGTCATATAATCACCATATCATACATACATATTTCCAAATTCCCTAAACATCTGATTAGCTAGTTGAATGTTTAGTGTGGAAACATATTTAGAAATGAAGTAAAGTCTGATGATGACTTCATTCTGCTCAGCAACTGGTGGACATCCACGTTGTGATCCTGCATAAAGAGGAAGGAGCTGGGTTGGGCTTCAGCATCGCTGGAGGATGTGACCTGGAGAACAAAGCACCAACGGTAGGAGAACCAAAGCTCCTCTGTGTTGTTTATGTGATGATGATCCTGGTCCTTTCAGTGAGCAAAGTGAAAACTCATCTTCCAACCACTTCATCTTCCTCTCTATCCATCAGTTCATTAAATATACAGTGGGGCAAAAAAGTATTTAGTCAGCCACCAATAGTGCAAGTTCTCCCACTCAAAAAGATGAGAGAGGCCGGTAATTTTCATCATCATAGATATACCTCAACTATGAGAGACAAAATGAGAAAAAAAAATCCAGAAAATCACATTGTCTGATTTATAACGAATTTATCTGCAAAATATGGTTGAAAATAAGTATTTGGTCAGTTACAACCAAGCAA